ACCACTGCTCGGGACCACCAGATGCTCAGCAAGTATATAAATGATGGGTGAGCTCATGTGCAAAGTCAAGGGTTCGGATCCCTCCGGAAGTCGTCGTTTTGCATTTTCTCAAAAATGCTCCCTGCACATCCTAAAAGCACTTTTGCGGGGTTAGGAGACCTGATCTTACCAAAAAATGTTGTTTCTGAAGGAATGGAGCCATTCTGGAACACTCCTGAAAGATACTCTTGATAGCTGGTTTCGGCGGCATTAATCGCTGCGGTGTGTTGTGTCGCCAAACTAATTCCAAGTGGCATGGAAGCCAAAAGTGAATGTCGTGGTTGTGATCAGGGCCGTCAGTAACCAACAAGGACTGAGATTCAGCGGAAAAGCTCCATTGCTCACAGAGATTTTGATCGGCGATAGTGCCAGCGACCTTAAGGAATTCGTTGCCCATGGTTACCCCACTGTATCGAAAATAGGTCGAAATCTCAGATTTGGTTGAAAACTTGCCTCTAGGGCTAATTTGAGCCCCAGAGCACGAATATCACACTCGTTCGGCGTAAAAACGCTTGCCAAGGGAGTTGCAGGTCCTGCACACCCTGCCCCTCCAGAATGTGAACAAGACATTTTTATGAAAAATACCTGCAGTGATGATTTCCAGAGCACCAGACCACCTCTAATTCCAGATTTTAGCAAATTTGGGGGTTTTGGTGTGCCTCACATACATGCTGGAAATGGGTGTGACCTGGTCAAAATTCCTGCATAACTTTGTCCAGGGAATCGTTTAGCAGATATGGAGGGCAGATTTGTAATCAGCGTTCAAGGGCCCATCGGGCAGTATACATCTCATTTCGAATGGCCACTTCGACCAACCATCCTTTCCCAGTTAGCTTGTAGAGTTACATGTCCCGACCTTAACCCTCATTGTTATCTGGAAATCCCTTCCTTTCAGCTAACGGATTCGTCAAAAGCAGTCATCAAGCAAATGGCTTCAATCAGCAAATCGAGGAGTGAAACAAACGCGGTACGTTCTCCTCCTGCAGTTGAGTAGTGGTGGAACGGTAGTTCTGGAATACGACTTGAGCACTGTACAAAAACCAAGGAAAATTTCTCTTCCCGAATGGTAGCAAGGGACGGTCTCCCAGTATGGAAATAACGAGAGATTGCGCTGAAAATGCTTAGTTCTATGACTGGAACAGCCAAAACGAGGGAGCTACTGGCAGACATGCAAAACACCCTTCATTTAGTAGGTGACGTGACGTGCCCACACTAACGGTGGAAAGCTAGCACAACTATTTCGGGTTAAAAGCTCCAGGGGCTAAAAATATTTCAAAAGCAGTCATCAAGCAAATGGCTTCAATCAGCAAATCGAGGGGAAATATGTTCAGTGGAGAGCAGCAGTTTTGAGGAGGAAATTATATTCAAAGGCCTGCGGTGGGCTGAACATGAGTAGAATAGGTCGATTCTGGACCATGGCCCGTGAATCGGTCCAACTGCCTACAGACCAAAACAAATGGGAGAGAGAAGGAGCAGCTCAGCAATCCAGTGGAGTCACCTGCAATGAGAAGCAATTTCCAGAAGAGAAGGCAGGCGTCAACAATCGCCGGAGTGTATGCCCAGTACTCGTAATTATGGGTTGAGACAGCTAGGGAGACCAAGCTGTCTACATTGGTTGAGACATGCGCTCTTTGAGGTGGGGAAGGGGGAGGGGAGGGAAGGGGTTCGGGGAGTTGAAGCCACAAAAAAGCCCTCCTCGTTTCGGTTCATTGACAGTTTACACGGTGGGACAATACTGGAGAGGGAAGCATTTTCCGAGATAGAAAGACCGAGGGTCATCCACGATAGCATTCTCGAACTACTCTTCTGTGCTTTTTCTGTTCTAATGAAACATCGTCACAGGTAAAAGGTCCATTGAGTAAAAGGACTATGGGGCTGGCAACCCTGTGCCAGCCAAGCCTTTCAATATCTATAAAAATGAGTGCTCAGTGCTTGTTGATCCTTTCAAAGTTCACAGTTGGTGAAGCCTTAACCAATACCGCCAGTAATACGCAGGGAGGGGATCTCTGATCTTTTCTACCCCTCTTTCTCGCACTGCTGGAACTGCCCAGGACTATAGTTCACTTTTTTCAGGAGGATACAGAAGACTCACTGAGAAGTAAAGCGGGCAAAACGGTGACGAAATCGACCAGTAGTATACGGCGAGAATAAAAAAACAAGACTGAAAGAGCGCTAACATTGGATCGTACTCTTCTTCTTTTCGAATTAAACCCTTCAATCGTGTTGTAATAAATAGATCTTTCAGAATAACAAGTTGTTCGTATCACTCCCCTCCCACCACTGTTGTGAAGAATAGCTTTGCTCACTAACCATAAGGCAAAACCGTTCTTTCCAGAAAGGCGAGTGTTCAGTTACAACGAAACCCACCAAGAGAACACCTGGGGAAGAGGGTCACGTGAGGGCAGAAGATTGAAAGCTTCCAGAAATGCAACGTCCAGCATTTCTGGAAGCTTTCTTAGTACAGGGTACCGAAGGATAGGGCGAGGCTTACACTCGCCATTCCGAATGGTTAGATTGAGGTGACAAGCAGAAGCAGCTGAGACCAACGAGAACTCGTACGACCACACGCTCTTCGCCTTGCGCATGCATGGACGCGGTCTAGCATGGGGCTTTACGTAAGGCACTTCGAACGGTATTTTCCTTCTTTTCTTTACTTTTGCTTAACTCACCATCCTGCCATTAGCATTTGGATCGCAGAACTCAACATTTCGGAAGTCATCTTCAAAGACACAGTCCGCGATTACCCAATGTGCGGAACACAGCCCTGCACATATTGACGCGGTGTGCAACCGCCAATCTTTTCTACCGCTCAAAAGTGCTTGTAAGGGGCAAGATGTCCTTCATTATTTATTCTCTATAGATACAGCGTGTCCCATAAAAAGCGTAACTTCTTCAGAGATCACCGTGAAAGGCATGAATATGAGCAAAATCATCATCTCAAGAAATATTTTCTTGCCAGTTCGATAGTAGCAGCTGCGAGAGAAGGTGGCACCTTAAAGTCACCAATTGTGGTCCTTAATAACGTCTGAGCTATATTATATAAGCACTTCAGAGTGCATCCCATTTCCCTAACTACAATACCCGCCAAGGTTAGCTACTAATAAATCACGTTTTAAGCGATAAGACGACGAGAAATAGAAAATGAAAAACATAAGCGTACCTCGTCCGGGTAAATTCGGAATCCAATAGAGCCGCCGCATGGCCGAGGAGTGGAGTGAGCCTGAACAACATCCTGCTTTTTTCCGAAGAAACGTCAATAAGAGAAAAATATTTCAGGGCAGAAAATGCTTTTCGACACAAACCACAGGCGCTGTGTACAGCTCGGGCGGCGTTTCCAGTACAACTGACTCCGGTGTTTCAGGAACTGTACTGGTTCCGGCAGAGTCGGATGGATTCTTCGAGATTTGCTCACATCGGATGGCAGTAAAACCACCTCTTTCTTGCTCTGGTACGCCTGCAGAATGTGGAGCTGTTTTTTCTACTGTAGACGCAGATTCCATGGGATTACGTGCACCCACAGCGACTACATCGGATGATCCCTTGTCGATTTCGGACGGAGATAGCGCTTCCAGTGAGTGGCCTGAAACAAGGAGGCTGTACAAAGGTACAAAACTTGCCGTATCTCCTGAATCAATAGCATTTTTCTCTTCAACTCCCCAACTTGAGAGTCACGATAGCGACTCTTAAGTCGTTGATTTGCAGCTGTCGGAATGGGGAAGGGAGAGGGAAGAGACTATTTCATCTCCTTGCTCTTTCATCTTCGGAGCATGCTAGCCGCGAATCCATTCCCTCTATCGGCCCTCAAAGGGTAAGGGTCATCACGTGAGGGTGTAAGGTCCACTTGTTGCCAAATCAGTCTTGAGGGTGGGGAGGACAGGTATCGGAGAACATGCGTAACGAATAGCGAACTCGCTCAGAAAGCGTGACGTTTGGGTCCGCGTCCCGCTCGAGATTGTGACAGTCGCCC